GATGCGGCTCGCCTCTCGATAGCGCTCGACGGCGGTAGCGCTTCATCGATCGGCTCTCCACGTGATTGGAGAAACGCGAGAATCGCGTTTTTTATCCACGCCAATCGCGGTATCGCCGAGTGCGTATTCATTTCGGGATCGATTACGTAACGAAGTGCGATTTCGTGCCGCGCCGCGCCGCGCCCGTGCCATTGTGCCGTTTCCCAGAAGGGCGCAGATCTGAGGACGTAATATACGGACGTAAAAGTGCGAAAGGCCTAATTATTATTGAATGCCTCGACGAGCGGAGCGTACATTGTAGAAAATTACTGTTGCGGGCTAACGTTTCCAGCGTGGCCGGGTAGCATCATCCCCGGACTCAGCGCCGCGCATCGCCCGGAGGATCCAGCTCGGACCCGTTCCCGCGTTGCGTTGCGTGGTACTACAATTGAAGATGTTCAATTAGAAACCGGTCCGGACGCCGAGAGCTAAACAATTGAGACAATAGTCGAAACGCGTTCCACCGAGACGCTAGTGTCATTCCAAGGCAATCCAATCGCCGTCGTCTTTATTATACTTTTCAGCTCGGGAAGAAGAAAAAAAAAAACGGTTGACGCCGTAAATTTAATGTGTTGTAGCGGAGACGTCGCGAATTTTAATGGATAATTTCACTAGCTTAATCTTTATATTCTTGACACCTGGATTCGTTTTTATGGCTCTTCAATCGCGACCCACTTTCGCGACTTTCCGTTTCAATTGACATCAAGTCAATAAAGTGTCAATCTACTGAAAATGCGATAGATTATTCTGAGATAATTTCACCTCTCGAGAAATCTCGACGCGTCACGTCAATTAATTGGCGATATAAAACAGCCCCGAAGTGAATTTCTGCACTGATTTCGCGGACTATTTTTCTAAAATGAGAGTTAAGGAAGTCATTGCATCGGCGGGTTCGCGATTCTTCACGGCGACTGTTTGGGTTATTGCAATTTTCGAAATGCACTCTTCTACCAATTTTCGAGGAGAAGTATCGCAAAGTGTGGACGCGGGTTCTGTAGCATTCGTAGAATCGCTCGAACCCACTTTTAACGACGAGCGCATTCGGCCAAGCTGGCATTGGCGTAGCTCTGCATGCAACTTTCTTTCGCGTGCATGATGAAAAGATTTCTTTCCTAAAACGCTATCGCTATATCAAAATTCCAGTCAATATAGCAAGGACCGATTCAATCGTATACTTGTTTGTTGAACAAATGTAATGAAATAGTATCCGAGGTAAAAGTTAACGCAAAAAATGAAGAGGAATCGCTTCCTTACTTTTATCTCTATAATTAATCGTCTATTATTATCAGCTGTTGTATATCCGAACAATGTATTCCGATTATTGGCTTACTGATACGACGGAGAAAAACGAAACATGAAAAGAAACGATAAATTATTTGTACAGAAGCATTGATTGTTATCGAAATTGAATATTAAGATAAAACGATACCACTCCGCTCCGCACTACGCTAGTGACTAAACGGTTCGTCGAGTTTCGACTTACGGTCGGAGCGAGAAAGACCATTATGTCAAATCGGCAAGATTGTTTCTCTGAACGTAAATTGCAGCCTAGTTTCGCAGCAGTTCCGTCCGAATTTTATAGCGCCAGTTCCGCAGCGCCTAATTGACGGAAGCCTTTCGAACTCGCGTCGAGTTTCTCTACGATTCACACGCTGCGAGATCGATCAACCAGCTTAATAATATTGATGAGCAGTTGGGTAATTAGTGGTCGTATTTCTATTTATAATTATTTCGGATTTACGTAGCGCGCGGCGTCTTTGCATGGCGTTTCCGGCTCGGCGAGGCGACCCTCTCTCGAGTCCTAATCGAGTGCCGCGTGTCATTTCAGTGTCAAAATGACAAGTTGTGGGACGTAAATCGAGGCGAGGAGGCGCACAAAGCGAATAACGACGGTTGCCTACTGTTCTCTCGTCGAACGGAACGTTGCGCTTTTATATTTCACGCGAGTCAAATCGCTTTCGGAAAGTGCGTCGCGATCGATCCAACTGATGTTCCGCGCGATTCGATATTTCCGGATAATGTATCAAATAAATGGCAGCAAATGCAATTTGCGTTTTCGCCTCGTTCAAGCGAGACGCGGCGAGAATAGTCGCGAGGGTTTTAATTATGCAAAGTGTACATCGTGCATCGCGTTAATTATAACACGCATCGTTCACGCATCGTACGCGATGTTTTCTTCACCGCCGGAGAAACTGATTGAATCGTGTAGCACATTATTACACGCATATATAATAACATATTATAGCATTTTACATAAAATGTTTTATAGGCATCGCGTGATTTCCTTCGGCTATGAATCTCGTTAACAAAAATTAATGGGACGCACTGTGTTTTACGACAAGTGCTCGACATGACGTGTTTTTGCATCTGGTCTTTATGCATATACATATATTTACAATCCATTTATGTCAAAGAGAAAGTACGGCAACAACCAGGACGCCCTGCGAATATTATTGCGAGCATTGTATTATAATCGTGAAATAACGTTACATGAGAACGATTATTTGAAGGATCACTTTGTTTCGTTGCGCTATAGCGTGTGTGCCTCCTTCTCTCTTTGGGCTTTTTAAGCGTGTACCTACTTCGGACGAAATAATCGGGCGAGAGTAATGTTGCTCGTACGCATAAATACATTTCACTCACGCCACGCAAGTAATAGCGGGTTTCATTACCCGCACGAAAAAGTCGGCATTCGAGAATGCACCGGCGTAGACGCTAATTATGTATTTTGCACGTACCTGCATTTTAACATTTACACTTTTATGTCCTTTTTCCCGCGTGCAATGATCGCGCCGTACACTTAATGATCCCTCGCAACCGGCAACATTTTCCGTACCGTATTTCTCCCGATTAAAGCAAATTAAAATTATACCTTGTGAGAGAGACAGAAATACGTGCGCGAGTTTAAAAAATGCTTTTGTAAATTACAGATATCTCGAAAACATGAGGTGAAACATGAGGTAACGAGCAAGATATAAGTAGTTTTTTTTTTCGAGAATATTACGCTTATAAATCAGACGAAACTCTTACGTTACTTTTTATCATTCCTGTTCGCTGTAACAAACGACTGATATTTCTGTCCCATCTTCCAAATTGAATGTCTAATTCAAGGTTCGAAGTTTTTCATCTCCGTAATACACCGTCGGATAAAAATAGTAATTAGCCGATCGCTAAAGCGTCGCGGAGAACAAAAAGGGTTATCGCGCGAGCGGACGGCGGGATAACGTAACGTGACGACTTGGACTTGTTCGCACACCATTAAAGTGTCACCCGTGTCTTCGACTTCGATTTCGTACTTTGGGGCTGATCGCGACGACGGCGCGAGTGAATAATTCGCCGCTAATATATAATTGATATCCTCTATATACGGTTAGCAGTCGCGAAGCGCAGTAATGACACCAAGTAGAGAGACCCACGCCTAGCGCCGATCGTCGTCGCCGTCTAAAGATATACCTATCCCAATTAGAGGAGTTGACATCGGTGATCGCCGACACCGAGTACCGGGAACGCCTCTCGTCGCTCTCTCGTCGCTTTATATTTCGTCACTCGATTCTATCGAGCGCCGGCCGGTCGTCGCTCCAATCCCCGCCGGGGGAATAACGCGGAATTAATAATATCCGACAATCTCGCTAATTGCATGAATCATCTGCTCCTTCTGCATCATGTTAGCGCGGAGACACGTATAATTCGACAGTCATGTAGGTAATGGTACATGCATCCGCGTTACGATTTTTATCTCACCGCAGAGACGGTCTAATAATAATGATATCGCGATAGAGAGTAAGAGAGATAAATAAACCAATTAATGTTCCGAGGCAATGCTTAACGGCTAATATTTTTTTCTTCGTCCGAGATATCAGAAACGGATGCATATTTGTGCGAAATATGCATTTATAGCAGCATGTTTGAATAATCACTGCGGACGATGCTTTCATTAAATATCGTTATGCTGGATTATTTTTAAATTATCCAATTGTTGATTTGTCTAGTTATAGAGATCTAATAAAGCCGCGACGTTGCTTTTAGTAGACTTAAAAATTAAAGCGCCAGCTTTTTATTTTAAAACATCGCCGTTATCGTGACAAATTAACGAAGTAGCGAATGTACATTTAAAGTGTATCACGGTCTCAAAATTACAAACATGTGCTTGCAAACGTGTGGAACAAAATACTTAAATTTCATTTGTTCTCATTACGCTCGAAAATACGCTTAAAACACGATTTACTCAAGGCAAAATCATTTCGCTTCAGCATCAAGATACAACTCACGCAACGAGATAACAGCAATACGAAACAGTAACAGTGAGTACCGTAGTCGATAATGATCAACATACATTCACCGAGAATCTTATTTCATTTCACAGAAATAACAAGATAAAGCGCGCGCTGATCTGACAAGCAAAATGCTCTCATTTTTTACTTTATATTAATATTAGATGTAATACGAAAAAAGTAGTCGGTGGAAGTATATAAAACACATATAACTTTTTTTTTAAATTACCAAGAAATATCATGGTAATCTTTGTGACCGAATTACACGCTATAAGACGCTTCCTCGGAAAATCAAGAAATCTATAAGAGATTCTTCTACATTTTTTTATCAGCAGTAAATAAACTTGATGTGTTTAATTTTAAGTAAAAATCAAACAAATCATTATTCAATAAACTCAATTTAAATAAATATAAAGTCCTAAAAGTTTATCTTCTGATTGAGATAATATTTTTCACAATATTAATTTTTTTCATTAATAGTAAACGGATTTAACATCTTCAATTTTGGGCGAAAATTAAATTGTTTTATAAAATCAATTGAGAAGTGACGGAATGTTTGGTTTTTAAAATCGTTGAGCAACGTGCCTGATTATCTTATCTGACGTATCTCGAATTCACACAGCTTGACGCCTGTTTCGTCGTTTACCTGAAATAAGCCCGACTGATTTCTATTCGTAAATATGCGCGTACCTGCTAGTCTGTCCTTAAGATGCGGATGCGCCTGCAAAGGATGCGCGGCGAGATTCGCCAGGAGGCTCGCCCGGTGCAGACCGGCCGCTGCGGCCTGCTGCTGGCTGTGCTGAAGAGCCTGCAGGCTCCAGGGTGGTATCAGGGTCTGCGCGGACAGGGCGCCAGTCGGAGCGCCGTTCGTGCCCGGCGGCCGATGCGCCGGCACCCTGATAACGCCGCCGCCGGTGTAGATGAGACCGGTGCCGGTCGGGAAGAGTCTGAAGTGCGGTGCGAGCAGATCGGCCGCCGAGGCGCAGTGCACGGACGACGAGGAGGAGGAATTGGCGCGGGTGTCGGGCGTGCTGTCGTCGTCGTCCTTCTCCGACAGCTTCTCCTCGGCGTCGTGGCCCCAGGACCGCCTGCCGTCGTCCAGAACGCCGCCCGACGACGCCTGGTTGTTGTTGTTATTGTTGTTGTTGTTGTTGCCCTCTTCCCAGGACCACTTCCTCTCCTTGTCGCTGTCCGGTTCTTCCGAGGACGGGCTCTTGGGATTCTGGACGCCGCTCTCGCCCAGCAGGCGGCTTATGCTAAACGGATGACTCCGCGACGAGTCATTTGGCAATGTTCTCGCGCCGGTTTGGCTGGGCGGCGGCGAGGTGGAGCACTCGGACGTCTCCTGGGACACGTGGCGGCCGTCGTGGCCCGCGTAATTTCGCGGACTGCAGCTGCGGGAGTCCGAGTCGTCCACGTTGATCTCCTCCGTCGCGTCCACGTCGCTGTCGCCGTGCTCCGACATGATGTCACCACTCTCGCGAGAAACTCGGCGCTCGGAATGGACTTGGAAAATGACGTGCTTCAAGCAGCAGGTATCCTCATCGAGTTGTCATGCGTTTAGAGTAATTTATGACGCAGCATGGCGCAGAACGGTCGAAGAATGCAACGTCGGTGGAGGGAGGGAGGAAGGGGAGCAGTAGAGTCGGAGAGAATTCGTCAAAGACTAGATTACGACGAAATCAAGTTCGATGCGGCGAGCGTTTCGATTTATTGCGCGACCGATTTAGCTCCGGCCACCTCGTAAATCTCCCGTTGAACGGCGGCCATTTTGTTTCTACGTATGTATATCGACGCTGGTACCATTCGTGCATTGAACGGAGATCTCTCACCAGATGTTTATCCCTCGTAAGATTTTTCCTCCCGAATCCACTGTCCTTTCCGCGCTTTTTCAGATAGTTTGAGGCGTAACACTCCAACCACGAATTTCACTGCTTTTGTTCACTGATCGTCGATTGTTTTTTTTTTTTTTTTTTAACAAACAACAATCCTGTCTATCGAAATACACCAGCTCTGTCTTCAGAAACTAAAATCCATTCTCGAATCACGTCTCTGTTCCGTAAGATAAGTCGGGGACCAGCGAGCCTCTTTCGAGGCTGGTCTCTCTGTCATCTTGAAGAAAAACGAGAATACTATTTCGTGAATAGCCACTCCACGTTGATCGGAAACGTTTCACTGTGCCGAGAAAATTGTTCGGATTCCCCGGATGCTGCGATCGCGATCTAAACGAGATCTTTGACAGGTC